GCTGCCCCCTGCGCCCGGGCCGCACCCCACCTGCATGACGACCTAGCTGTACCTGGGAAAACTCTCTCTAGTTTAAAGCGACTGTACAAAGCCGAGCACCGCCGCGGGGACGAGACGACAAAGCAAAAGAGACAGAAAGGGGAAAACATAACACCGCCCTCTCCGTTCGGATTTGTTTAAAAAAGACAGAACTCCTGGAGAGGGGCATAGCAGCGGTCCTTGCCTTTTGTGGCGCCCCCCCCGCCCCCCGGCTCTTTCTTTCTCTCTGTTTTTAAGTCCGAGTATTGGTCAGACAAGATGCAATTTTCTGTTTTTTTGTTCAGCAGACAATCATTTCCTTCGTAAGCACCTTTTTCTCGCCACTCTGTCACTGCCTGTGTGGGTCCTGGTTATAAATGTGGAAAAAAGAATAGTTATGACTGTAACAGATTTTTATTTTTATTTCAAAATTTTATATGAATTATGTATATCTTAATGATCGGTCATTTTCCCAGTTTGTAATATATGTGTAGAAATTGCCTGTATATGCTATTGCTTTCCCTCCCCTCCCAATTTCTTTCGCTCTTCTCCCCCCTGCCCGCTCCCCTCCTTTCCTTTTGGGGGTTCGCCTCCCGCTCGGCCCCTGGTGCAGGCGGCCGGCCCTGCGGGCTGGCTCGGCCGGCCGGGCGAGGAAGAGGGACCCTGTCGCTACCGAGAGCGGAGAGTGAGACCGTAGTATTCTTATGCAAAAGCTATTTCAAGTCTTTCCTAGCAGCTTTGGAGACATCTCGCACTCCCTGTAGGGCGCTTTTACGGTTATCTTAACTGCGCGTTTATCTATATGTAAAAACTTTCTAAAGCAAATACAGTAATCTCCATTTTCTTACCACCCCTGGAGACTGGTGTTTTTGTCCGGCCCGTGCCCAGGCCCCGGGTGCTGCGCCCGGCCTTCTCCTTGCACTCCAGCTATCCTGCCGGAGCTGGGGCAGGATTTTAAAGCTGGGTCTGAGCATTTTTTCCTGGAGGAGGGAGGGGAGAAAATGGGAACAGGCCCTTCGGGAAAGAATCAAAGTCAAATCTTGAGCAAAAGGCAAAGAGGGCGTCGGGGGGAGGAGGCTACGGCCGGTTTCTCCAGCGAGAGCTGCAGGCCCAGATCCCCAGGAACTGTAGCCTGACGCGGCTGTAGTGGGTCACCGGGGAGTGTTTGGCATCTTTTGGTGGTGGTGCTTTTTTTTTTTTTTTTTTTAAAGGAGAAACACACAAGGTCACCAAATCCAAGCATCCAGCCACCGCCTAGATGACAGGTTTTGTCTTCTTTTGGGGAGGGAGGCAACCGTAGCCCGGGTGGGGAGAGAGAGCAAGGGAGAAGTAGTTTGAGGAGTTTAGGGTCTAGAATCACGACGGGGACCCCCTCTCACCACCAGTGTGTGCATCTGACCGGAAAACCTGCTTTATGGGTCTCTATCTGCCTCCCCGAAATTTCTCTCCATCTTTAGGGATCTACTGGAGCCCCTCAAACCCCAAGACATTTCAGAGGCCATTTACACTTTAAAATGAGAAGCAAAAAAATCACCTCCTTTTGCTAACCAGGTCCCGCTGGCTCCAGGCCTCCCTGCCCCGTGCAGGGTCCCCACAGTTCCCCGTGATGGCGTGACTGGTGGTGCCGCTGCTCTGGGCTGGGCCAAGCCGGCCTGCGCCCCAGGAGGAGCCAAAGAGGTAATTTCCGAAAACTTGCCTTCACTTGAAAGTCCAATTTCCAAAGCGAGGAAGATTAGGAAGAAACGTGCATGGAATTTTGCACCTGTTTCTAAACTAATTTTGACTTCTGATTTCCTTTGGTCCCCATCACTGGCAGCACCATGGGATTTATGCAGGCCGGGCTGGACCGAGAGGCGGCCAGACCCAAAGGTGCGTTGGGTGTGCAAGTGGGGCCTGGTGTGCTCGGGGCCCCTGTTTGCGTGAAGCAGGTTTCTGAAAGCATTCTTACTTAGAACCAGGGCATCCAGAAAAACTCCAGAGCTTCCAAGTTCTGTGGCCTGTGTTTACTGCCCTGGATGGGCCCCACCCAACTGCCTAACCAGAATTTATGGGTGGAAGGAGAGGCGTGGCAGGCCGAAGAGTGACTCTTTGACTGCTGACACTAGGGAGCAGGTGCCTTTTTGTCTGGGGACAGGGGACAAACCTGTGGAGTTAAAATCCTCTTAACATACCCTACAGAGAAAGCAAGTTTTGGGGCGTACAGTGCCCACTCCTCTTCCACTGCAGGAAGGAGGCTGTCAGACTCCACAGCAGCCTTCAGCTCCCGAGGCCTAGCCCTGCTGGGAGTTGACCACCTGCTATCTGTCTGTCTAGCTGTCTGTCATCTATCACTCTCTCTCGTCACCCATGATTCTACCCAGGTCTGTACAAATACAAACACTCCACTCTGCACTTTCTGACCTTACCTACAGACTCCCCACAGAAGAGGCACGAGTGCTTGTTGTGAGTGGTGTCGAAGTGTCAATTCTGAATGCTGGGCTTCCACCATGCGATCAAGGTCTGCATGTGAAGTGGTGCATGTGTGTGACGTTGGATATAAATATGTGTATAGTGCATTAGTGTGTGTTCACGATGTGTTTCCATGTAGATAGCCTATAATGCAGGTATTTGTGTGTGGCTTGCGCAGTTTATGTGCACTCAGTTCTGCAAACAGTGGCTTCAGTGCATCCATAGGATGCTATGCCTGCAGGGTCTTTCTGTGCAGTGGACATGTGTCTTGCGGGATTCTGGTGTGGACATGTGTGAGTTCCCTTGTTCTAGTCAACCAGCAGATACGACCACCAGGCCCACCACCCCTAGTGGACCTTCCTCGCCCTTTGAGGAATGGGTACTCTTTGACTGGAGGGTAGAAGGGAATTGGGCTCGATGGCTTCCCCAGTCCACCCTTTACCTTGATATTCTGGATATTACATTGGACTTGGGCCCTGCCTCTTTAACCATCAGGGAATGAGGGGAAAGAGGCCCCTTTCTCTCCAGATATCCTTTTATCAGCTGCATGCCCATTCTTCTTTCTGAGCCCCTCAAAGCCAGCACAAGGCAGTCAGCGTCCTAGGGGCCGTGCGGCAGAACTCCAGGGCAGGGCCTGGCTGAAGCTCCGCTGGCTGAAAGGCCACCTCAGCCACTGTGCACAGCTCGGGCAGCCTGGGAATGTTTCGGATTGTGCCCTCCACGGTGCGAGGGTGCAGTGGGCTGGACTCTCGAGCGGGCCTCATCACGCTGGGTGAGCAGGCCTCAGCTTTAACCTTCCATCCCCTCTGTCCAGCTTGTGGCAGCCATGGCCCAGCTCCTCTCCTGCTGCTGTGCCAGGGCATTGGCACACACAGCCCACGCGCAGCGCGCTCCCGCCTGGTGCGGGGGCTGGCACACCGCCTCTGCGCTTCCCCGTGTACCCAGGCCGCTTCCTACATGGGCAGCCTGCTCCAGTGTGTAAGGGGCTTGAAGAATAACAGCCAATATGGGGATATTTTCTTTGTCCCTCCCTCCCTCAAGGGAAAACAATATCAATCTGGGATTTGCACCAGAAACCTGAATGGGCAGAATGGGATTTGAAACTGAGAAAATTCGTATCAAAGTCCCTGACCCCGAGAAGTCCCTGCCTGAGGGAAGATGGCCCAACCTATCCTTTTACGCCTGTTCACCTCACTCCCTGCCCCCAGGTGTGGCCCTGAGCCCCAGCATGGCCCCTCTTCTTGCCCCCTTGAATCCAGTGGAGTCGACTGCCCAGCGCCGGCGCAGTTGATTATCCCAAGCGAGATGTACAGCTGATTAAAATGAAATGACCTGGAAGCTGCCACGGCACGGGGTTGGGATGCTGGTCAATAGTGAGACTGGAGGCACAGGAGCCCGGCCATCCAGGCTGGGACTGGGGCTGGAGGCCAATGATGGCTGCACTGGACGTGGGGAGGGCTCCAGTGCGGCGCTGGGAGGGCCAAGCCCAGGCCTAAGCAGGCTGAGTGGGGCTGGGATGAGAACCCTAGTGTGCGCTGTGTCAGAGGAGTGCTCCCTTAGCTGCTTGTGAAAACAGACGGGGCCAGCCCAGCACATTGTGGACCCAGCCCCTTGCTCAGGTCGCTGGAGCTCACAGCCCAGTCCCAGGCCTGTGGTGTGCAGGGCGCGCTTGGATGGCTGCCTCTTCTTGCTCTCTTTCTCTGCCTCTGTGGCTTTCTTGGTCCCTTGCCTAAGTCTTGGTCTTTGCGTGGCTGTTACCTGGAGTGCCAGCTGCCGCCTCAGGCACTTTTCTGGACCTTCCCCTGTCCTCGTCACCCCCGAGCGAGCGCTGGGGTGAGATGTCCAGCCCACCGGAGGCAAGCCCCCTAGTCCTCGCTTTCAGGCCCTCATGCCCACACCCCTTCCGGCCCCAGCTGAGCTGACCCTCCTCTGCCCTACACAAGGGCCCGGGTGGCCCTCCAGCCCAAGGGAGGGCAGGAGGGGGCCAGGGAGGAGGGGAGCCGGGCTAGCCGGCTCCAATTTCTCCGGTCAGCTGAGCACAACTTTCCATTCGAGTGTATTCATGCAGCGGCTGATTGAGCTCTGCTGTGTCGGGCGGGGCTCCGCAGGAGCGAGCAGGCACAGCCAGGCCGACAGAGGCTACAGCACACTCACTTATCTGTACAAATACACCCCCTCACTCACATTATGCACACTCCTCAGCCCCATCATAAACCTAATATAGCCCTTTCCCTTATTGCCCACCTGTCCCCAGAGCAGTTTCCTAACATGCATAGACTTTCTCCCTACACAACACAGGGCCTGCCTTTCTGATTTGCTCTTTACAGATTCTACGTTGGTCCTTAGACACAGGCACAAGAACCCTCCATCCTCTGTTTCCCCTGCAGGCACATTCTCCAGGGCGCACACACTCCAAGCCGTGGAGATGCACACACAAACACGCCCCGTGCCCGACTGCACAGTCGCACCCTCCTACAGAGCTATCCAGAGCTCTCCGCGCTGCAGAAGAAATGCGCGTCTGCATAAAACAGCATTAGCACCAATAAACATTTGGTGCACAGCCTGTTATATACCGAATAGTGAGCTGGGTCTCGCCAAAAGTTCACATACAAGAGAGGGAGCAGATGGGCAATAAACCCAGTCAGAGAACACAGCCACTACACATCCACCAGAACAAACCCGCAGAGGATACCACACGCAGAGGAAACCTTCACACCACATACGCATGAGCCAACCCAAACACAGAGTAGAAATGCCTCCCAGAGGCTCTTTAACCCCCAAACTCATAGCCTGACTCTAGGCACTGAGAGGCCACCTATCTGCCCTACCTCACCCACTCCCAGCACACACACTCACACACACTCACACACACACTCTCACACACACTCACACACACTCACACACACATTCACACACACACACTCACACAGACACACACACACAGACACACACACACTCTCACACACACACACTCATACTCACACACTCACACTCACACACACACTCACACACACACACTCACACACACTCACACTCACACATACACTCACACACTCACACACACTCACACATNTACACTCACACACTCACACTCACACTCACACTCACACACACTCACACACTCACACACACTCACACATACACTCACTCACACTCACACACTCACACACACATTCACACACACACACACTCACACAGACACACACACACACACAGACACAGACACACAGACACACACTCACACACTCTCACACACTCACACACACACTCATACTCACACACTCACACTCACACACACACTCACACACACTCACACTCACACACACTCACACTCACACACACTCACACATACACTCACACACTCACACTCACACTCACACTCACACACACTCACACACACACACACACACACACACACACACCCAGGCTAGGGCCCGGAGGAGACAGGCACAAAACTAGATAAGCACCTTCAGGAAAACGCCCAATCTTGGGAGTGGTCAGGTGAGCTGGGCTCTCCATTTTATAATTCACCCCAAACGCCCAGAGGCGTTGGTTTTGCCGAGGCAAGAAGGGAAGGGAGAGTACAGGGGAGGGAGAGAAGTTACACAGAGCCGAGCGAGGCGGGAGGAGAAGGGAGAGGGAGAAGGGAGAGGGACACTGAGACAGAAAATGGGAGGGACAGGAACAGGAAGAGCCAGAGAAGGTGGGAGCAGCTACTTCCCTGCCCGGCGGGCGGAGGCGCCCAAGCCTGGTGGGGAGACTGCGGTCCTAAGCTCAGGGAAGCGCCTTGGGGAGCGGCCTTGTGACTGGCCGCCGGGGAAGTGAAGGGAGCGCTGCCGGCCTGAGGCAGCCCGGTGCCCCCAGCGCCCACCCCTGTGGGCTGGGAGGTCAGGCAGCCCCCCTGCCCAGACGGGCCGCCGGGGAAGCACCTTCCTTCCCGGCACAGGCCGGGCCTGCACTCGGCGGCTGCCTCTCCGCCCTCACTGACGCTCAGAGGCCCCACAGATGCTTTCACTCACAGGCGTCCACACGCACACACTCACACACACTCACACACACTCACGCACACACTCACACACACTCACACACACACTCACACACACTCGCACACACACGCACACACACTCACACACTCGCACACACACGCACACACGCACACACTCACACACTCACACACACGCTCACACACTCACACACACTCGCGCACACTNCTCAGAGGCCCCACAGATGCTTTCACTCACAGGCGTCCACACGCACACACACACTCACACACACTCACGCACACACTCACACATGCACACACTCACACACTCGCACACACACTCACACACACTCACACATGCTCACACACTCACACATGAGCACACACGCACACACACACACACTCGCACACACACTCACGCACACACTCACACACTCACGCACACACTCACACACACTCACACACGCTCACACACTCACACATGCGCACACACGCACACACTNCTCAGAGGCCCCACAGATGCTTTCACTCACAGGCGTCCACACGCACACACTCACACACACTCACACACACTCACGCACACACTCACACACACTCACACACGCTCACACACTCACACATGCGCACACACGCACACACTCACACACACGCTCACACACTCACACATGCGCACACACACGCACACACACTCACACACTCGCACACACACTCACGCACACACGCACACACTCACACACACACACACGCTCACACACACATGCGCACACACACGCACACACACTCACACACTCGCACACACACTCACGCACACACGCACACACTCACACACACTCGCACACACACACACGCACACACACGCTCACACACTCACACATGCGCACACACACGCACACACACTCACACACTCGCACACACACGCACACGCACACACTCACACACACGCTCACACACACACACACGCACACACACGCTCACACACTCACACATGCGCACACACACATGCGCACACACACACACACACTCACACTCACGCACACACTCACGCANACTCACACACACTCACACACTCACGCACACACTCACGCACACACACACTCACGCACACTCACACACACGCACACACACGCTCACACACTCACATGCGCACACACACTCACACACTCGCACACACACGCACACACGCACACACACTCACACATGCGCGCACACACGCACACACTCACACACACTCACACACTCACGCACACGCACACACACGCTCACACACTCACACATGCGCGCACACACGCACACACTCACACACACTCACACACTCACGCACACACTCACGCACACACACACTCACGCACACTCACACACACGCACACACACGCTCACACACTCACATGCGCACACACACTCACACACTCGCACACACACGCACACACGCACACACACTCACACATGCGCGCACACACGCACACACTCACACACACTCACACACTC